GATTATATTAGGGTCCTCTTTATTCCTATTATACCACTATTACAGGGTGGGGGGTCTTCCTAAAGTATACCCTTAATGATACTAGGATCCCTCATAGGCTGATAGGATTCAAGGTCTATTCCTTATTGTAAGGGTATTGGGCTCCCTGGAGATGTAAGTTGCTTCTGCAAGTGTATGAGGCAGTGCTCTACCTGCCAGCATGCATTTTCAGAAATCTTGAGATCTTGCGAGTACCGCAACGACGTGCCTCCATTCAACTTGATGTGGTAGTTACCCAAAACATGGGTGCCTCAATATAGACCCTGAATTACTCTCTAATCCGCCCCAAAATGGTACCCCTAATTTGAGAAAACCCTACACCCTACATAATCCCTACAGCCCCCTTTAAAGGTACCCTTAATTTTGGGAAATGTCCATGTGTCGGTGTCTGGCTGGAAGGCTGAACTTCATGACATCATGGCGCCAGGCCTTGAGACAGAAAACTACGTCAGCGCTTCAAGATTCGCCGCTCCCCGGGTTTAGGGTTTAGGGTTTAGGGGCTCTAAACGCTGAACCCTAAATTCAAAAACCCTAAGCCCTAAACCCTACACCCCAAGCCCTAGACCAAAAACCCTAGGCCCTAAACCCTAAACCCCAAGCCCTGAGCCGTAAATCCCGTCCGAATCAAGGGAGCAGCTGTGCTGCGAACTAGTCTTCTGGTTTCCCTGGCAAAAGTAAGGTGGTTGGTTATATTAGGGTTATATAGGGGCTACTATACTGGGTTCTATAGGGTTTAGGGCTTAGGGTGTAGGTTTAGCCTCAATTACGCGATTTAGTGCTTAGGGCTTAGGATTTGGGGTTTAGGATTTAGGGTGTAGGATTTCGGGCTGAGGGTTTAGGGATTCTAGGACCACGAAATCTCACCTTGATATATCTCCCTGTGGCTCGTTGTTCGGATCAGAGGTTTAGGGTTTAGGGTTTAGGGTTTAGGGCCCTTACAGCTCTACATGTAGTGGCCCGACCAAAGACTTCGGACTTGACAACTACCCAAGAAGGTGCATGGGACTACGCGGTTTAGGGTTTAGGGTTTGGGGTTTAGGGTTTAGGGTACTTTTGGCTGGGTCCCTTTACAAGGGCTGTAGGGATGTACACTGTTTAGGCTTCCAAGGACTTAGTATCTACCGATAACTGGGTTTATAACCTTACCTATCACTGGGGCAAACTACATAAGTCCAACAAGGAGGAGCCTAAAGTGTAACTAGGATTATAAGCCCAGTCAGGAGTGGCTACTAGGTCCTATGAACTTTCAGAAGGTGTCAATCTGAGCATGCCCTTTGTCCAGCCGCAAGCGAGTCACTCACGAAATGGGGGGGAAGACATGGGCTACTTGGAGGTTCAGTAACTATAACCCAAGTAGAAGTGTGCTTACAACTCTGTCATATCCATGCGATACGTACCCTTGCACTTGGGAATCACTACCATGAGCCTCCAAGTAGGCAAAACCCTGCGCCACTTCCCTACCATCTTATCCTAGGCCCTATCCTTGGAGTATCCTGTGCTTATTCTAAGCGTCTCCTTAAGAGCCCGCGTGTCCATGCATCCCACACCCCCCACTTCAGGGCAGCCGTTGCGTGCGCTGCATCCCCATCCCCCGGCGTGAAGTGCTGCCCCGCGTGCTCGTCACGGGAAAATCTTGTGCTCCTAAAGGTAGGATTGGAAACAACTAGCCGAGTCTCTATGACTTTGAGTTGGGCTAAACCTTGAGTATTTCCCTGCTTGGAGATGGTAGTGGCCCGAGATTTGATTTTAAAAGTCCCTACACTTCTGAAAGGTCATAGTGTTGTACCCACAGCTCCTCCACCAAGCTACTGGAAGGTTCAGGGGACCCAGTACCTACGTACAACTGGAATAATAACTCCGCTTAGAATTGGGTAACCTACAAGCGCAGCTAGGGGGATTATCAGTAGGTTTTAATGGGGATAAGTAGGTACTGAGAACGGACCTGGACCAGTCCTATTTTCAAGCCCCAGTCCACCAAAAGAAGCGGATAGACATGCCGATTGAGTGCTGCTGCGGTTACAAGGCGACTTGGGATACTGCTGGATGATGAGATAATCTCCATATGGCAATCCTATAAGCCTTGCTAATGGTAATACACCCATGATCACCCATGAGCTTGAGCACTGGCGAGCAGCCTAAGCTGAATTCAGAACAGTTTGATCAGATGAGTGTGCACAAAACTAGGGTGTAGAGAGGTGTAGCGATGGCTTGGGATAAGACTGTAGGGTTTTGGGAAGGTTTGGGATTAGGGCTTGAGGGTGTTGAGGGTTGTCGCGCTAGACGTTGGGGTTGGCGGCTGTCTGTTTTGGAAGAGGGGGTTAGGGTCTTTTCGGGGATGCGGAACTACTGTTCAGGGTAACATGACATGATCACACAGGCAGAGGAAGTTCAGCATTTGAGGGAAGACCGTTCGTTTAGGGGATCCTTGCTTCGGCACATACCCAAATGGTGGTAGTTTCCCAAAAGAAGGCGGAACCCAAGTATGGACCCTAAGACATTACAGTCCTTATTCTGGGGACCTCCAAAAAGGTACCCCAAGGTAGCCCTAATTTTGGGAAACCCCCACATGGTCTCGCCACGAAAGTGTTATTCACAGCGAGATGGATGGGCAGTTTGCTTCAGGATGCCCAAAAAAGACAGGATACCAATCCGGAAAAGAACATTGGAGCAGTTATCGTCAGAAAGTGTGAGAGAGGCTTGTAATCATTAATCATTCTTCTGGCCAACTTTGAATATATGTACCATCCTGAAAAGCTGTTTGGTCAACATTTCCATATGGATCCTTAACCCAAAACCATCTTGGAACACATGTCCGTCACCCATAACTTGCCCAGATTCTGCTCTATAGAAAGTTAGGGACTTAGGGTTTAAGGTTTAGGGATTTTAGGGTTAAGGTTTCGGGATTAGGGATCTAGGGTTTAGAGATTTAGGGTTGGGGTTTAGGCTTGGGGTTTAGGGATTAGGGATTAAGGGATGTAGGGTTTAAGGTTTAGGGATTTAGGTAGTTCGTGTTCAGGAATTAGGGACCTAAACCCTGTCGGATTCGCTGGCGTTTGGCCACGGGCTCAGACAGCTGAGACTTCTGCACCTTCCACAAGATAAAGGGATCGACAGACGTTGCTGTTGAGAATTTCAATTACATAAGTTACTAGAGTAGGGAAACCCTGTAATGACTACTAAATTGCAACCCTAAACCCTTGCAATCTTATATATATATATACACCATATACCCATACTACGGTAACTAGCGTAAGTTCCTTTACCACAAGCCAGGGTTGAGGGTTCCTAGAGTTGGAACTTAGGGATTTGGGGGTTGGGCTTCCAGATGTCAAGCGGTTAAGGTTTAGTGTTTAGGGTTCAGGGTTTAGGGTTCAGGGTTTAGGGTTCAGGGTTTAGGATTTAGGGTTGGAATTGGGGTTTAGGGTTTAGGGCTTAGGATTCAAGGCTTTAGGGTTTAGGATTTCGGGCTGAGGGTTTAGGGATGGGGGTTCTCAAGAAAGGACCAGCCTAAGGAAGATAATTAATGAAATCAGGAAGAACGGCCAGTCATGACTGTGCTGAATCCAACGCACTGAACCCTAGTTCTTAAAATTTGCTCCTTGATCTTTCTGTCTGCTTCCTGGAGAGCCGACGGAATCCAACCAAGATCCGTACACCCTTCAAGAGAGACCTAAGCCCCCTGAGATTATCTAATTCTAGACCCTAAACCCTAAACCCGTAAACCCTGAACACGAAACCTTCAACCTTGCAACCTGAATCACAAACCCAAGGCCTGCAAAGCACTGACAATCGCTGGGACCGCTTTCATCCCACGGATTTTCCTGCGGTGGCCCAGGCTTGTGAAGGGTTCCAGGGTTGTTCACCTGAGGTCGTACCGCTGAAAAAGGTTTCCCGAATATGACCTGAGTAGTTTTTTTGGTGGTTGAACCTAGTAAGATAATATTCCTTATATAAAATACTATACCCAAAAGGAGGACAGAATCTTACTCTACATTGGGTACCATAGTATCCCCAAATAAAATACTACTCACCTTAATGTAGCGCTTGTAGAGTCCCCTAAATTCCCTCAAAAAGATAGCAAAACCCAGGGGTGCACCCTAGGGGTATAGCCCGAAACCCTTGAGCTTTAGGCTTTGAACCCCTCGTAAGAAACCATCCAAGGGGATCTAGATCAGGCTTTAGGGTTTAAGGCTTAGGATTTGGGGCTTAGGGCTGGGGGTTTAGAGCTTAGGAATTGGGGCTTGGTAGGGCTTAGGGCCCTAAACCCTAGAAACCCCACATCACAAAACCCAGACCTGGTATGGCTGATACGGGTTACAAGTATACTTACAAAGTCCCTCTGACCCTCCAAGGAGGCGATTATGGCTTCCCAGGCCCCCAAACGGATTTAAAAATTAGATCCCCTAGAAGACTATGAGAAAATTATATAGGGATTCTATTGGGGTTATTATGGCTTTATATAAGGGATCTAATTTTTAGACCCTTTCAGGGGTCTGGGTTAGGCTTTGGGATGACCAGGGGCTTACAATGACGTGTGTGGGTTTAGAGCTTCGGGTGTGTGGGTACCTGATAAGCCACAAACAAGGATAGACTGCTGGGAAAAGCCTTCAGGGCTATGAGGATGAGGAAGCAAAGTTTGCTTACAGGACGGTTTTCCTCCAGCAAGCATGCCTTGCACGTGGCAGTGCAAATCTCTGAACTTACGAGACTGCGCCTATGATACTGAGGTTCCGGACTTTTGCTTAATCACTTACAGAGAAGTACGACCCCTAGCGCCAACAAATGTTAGACTCTAAAGACACAACTGCAACTATGAGTACGTACCCTTGCAATCACTCCTCACTCCCTTTGAGGGATCCGGCTTCTTGCCAGTGGGAACGTGGAATGGGCTAATCACTACCGGAGGGACCATAAGCCCAAAAAAGCCTAAACCCAAAAGTCCTACCAGAGGATCCTACATGGGATCTTCTCCATTCCTTCAATGACTTCCTAGGCAGGAAAATGGAAGCTGGCAACTAGAGGGGGATATTCTTTGAGTGCCTAAGCCTTACACCCCAAACCCTAAACCCTAAACCCTAAAACCCCAAACCCACCTAAGCCCTGAACGAAAGGTAAGCAAGGCCTCAAGGAGGCTTTTGCCGCATTACGCACGCTGGCGTCCGAATTCAGCAGCTGCGCCTGTAGACTGGCCAGGTTTAGGGGTTTAGGGTTTAAGGTTAGGGTTTGGGCTCAGGGTTTAAGTTGAGGGTTTCAGGCGTATGTTTAAGATGCTTCTCGGCATAATTAGATGCAAGGGAGCTACACGACGGGGTATTGCGCGAATGGCTTAGGGATTCTTACATCACAAGCACCAAACCTCATGAAACAGTTTCCTTGAGGTTTGAAGGGACTATGCGTTGCTTTGGAGTGGGGCTCACAGTGGCCGATGTGGCGGCTTCGGTGGGATTGTAGACTGCATGAGGATTATGAAATTGTGTCAAGGCCGTGTTCTCACGCAAAATGCTCACGTCTTTTGTAGAACTGGCCACGGACGGCTTCTTATCTTTATGCGGCAGTTTGATTTCGTAAAACTGCCTCCTGTCATGGAGTATGGGGCTGCATCGAGTGTAGCAAGTGGCACGTGGGGTACATGGGGCAGGGATGCTAGAAATATCATCTGACTATAGTAAGGTCCCGATTTAGGGGGTTGAGGCCACCAAATCCACATGTCCCACCGAATTCCCGCTTCCCAGATAGGAGAAGCACCCAAACAAGGCTCCAAATCATCATAAATTTATGGTCTCCATAAGCGTGATGACGTTTGGGGTCGTTGAACCAAGCACAATATTTCTCACTAAGTACTGTAACACAAGAGGAGGCTGCGATCTCGCTCTATACTCCCAACTATCGTACCCCTGTATACAGAAGCTGCTCATGTGTGGAAAGCACGAACCCCGACCCTCTACTGACCACTAGGGATACGGATGCATATACTCGAGCCCAACTACATTTCCTGCTATCCAATATTACGGGGTCATGGGCTCACCTATGAAAAATCCTACATGACCCTAAATACTTTATGCATCAGGAGTTCTCGCATTCTGGTATATCAAGGTCATCCAGGTTCTGACTACCAACTGCTACACCCCACACCAAAACCCCAAAGCCCAAATCCTAAACCCTAAACCGAACAGGAACGTTAACATCAACAACCCTAAACCCTAAATCCTATACAGCGTCGCCTCCAACTCCTCCACAGCTCGCAGGTGAGCCTGCTCTAAGGAGAATCATGGGTTGGGTCCTGCCCCTGAGTCCATAGGGTTTAAGCTTTAGGATTCAGGGTTTAGGGTTGGGTCCTGCCCCCCACCCATCAACAGTCTACAAGATGGATCATAAGTAAGGGCAGTATTTCATGGGTGCCTGTTTCTGATACCTTGTTGGCATAATAGTAACTTGCTATTCTAGTTTGGGGACTATTCCATTATATATATATACACCACCATTTAAGGTGAGACCAAGTGATGTGATTATAATTTGTTCAGGTAGAAAGAACAATAACCGTATGTCCTTATTGGGCGTTGATCCAATACACCAATAAGGCTATTTACAACGATTACAAAATACAGGATAATCTGAGAACCTGAAGGGTGAGACTGCTAATGTAGAAATACCTGCTTGAAGGGCTTCAACCTCAGACCCTATCAACCCATGCAGAGGGCCTCTATTGCGGATGGAGGAAATCTTGCACCACCCTTTTACCTGTATAACCCCAATATATAACCCTAATCTACTATGGTAGTTTCTATTTTATTTTCCATTCTCCCAATATTTTTCCATTCTCCCAATATAACCCCAATATAACCCTGAAATCACCCCAATCACGATTCCTCAGTTATTTCTTCGGAACTAGCTTGCATTGGGGACTCCAAGTGGTGCAGGGTTTCCTCCATCTTAAGTCTCCTCGCAAGTCCCTTAGTTACCCCCAACCCTAAACCCTAAATCCTAGATTTTCTAAAATCACCTAAACCCTAACCCTAAACTCTAAACCCTAAACCCCAAACCCTAAATCCTGAATGGAATTCCCCCTGCCTGCCCACAAAGCTCACCCAACGACAGCGCCGCAGAGCGCTGAACGACGGCATCATCGCTCTCAAGGCTGCGACCTCAGGTTTCATCTAGGGGTTCAGGGTTTAGGGTTCCACAAATACGGGGGCCCCAGTATGCACCTCAAAATACTATGGTCTTTGTAATGGGGTCTAGGTAGGCATTTTGCGAAACAAAAGTGCCATCTACACTAGCAATAACAATTCGACCATAGGATATCATCTACTTCTAGTCCCCCTTAAATAGATAGAATATGAAATTTCCCGATGTCATAATAAGATACCCATATACCCCATATTCTATCTACTTAAGGGGGACTACATGACTTGGGGGTTTCCCCCACTTAATAGGTCATGGAAATGTTTACGATTTCTGTCTTGGCTGCGGAATTCCCTCCCCCACCCCCACCCCCCCCCACCCGCATAAAGCATAAAGCTTACCTTTTGATCCATTGCATGTTCTATTTCACCTTATCCTTCATCGCACATTACTGGTAACAAGTCAAGCTTCTACAGAAATCATGGCGTATAATTCTCGGCCAGATACTTCTGGAAGCTAAATAGGGAGACTCTTGTAGGCAACTGTGGGATTTCCAGTTCGAGCTTTTTCCAGCTTACAGACCGGCTTGAAGATTACTAAATTGCAACCCTAAACCCTTACAATCTTACATTGTGTAGCCCCTCTAGCTTTGGCATCTGTCTGTTGATGCGTCTACTGCTCTGGTTAGGGTTTAGGGTTTAGGGTCTAGGGTTTAGGGTTCAGGGTTTAGGATTTAGGGTTGAGGCCTGGTCCTAACATCGTAGAATCTCACACCGTCTGATCGTGAAGAATATGCGCAATACCGTATCATCAAATATGGGCACATGACTGTTTCATAACATGACTACTTGCACGCCGATGATGAATGTCAGTACTGCTTGTTTGCTTATTGTTGTATTTGCTCTTAGTACTGCTAGGAACAGACATACTATTGTTGTCATTCTTCTGCCTGTTACTGGCGTTGTTATTGTAGGGGTGGGCGGGCTGCTTACTAGGCGGACGGTAGCAATGACAGCTCTTCAGGGGAAAGTCTTGCTCTTCGTTTTCTACTCCATGAGCCCCAGAAAATATTTTGAAGCCTCTGAATACTTGCCAATGCTGTTCCTTTATTATGACTCTGATAGAAATACACCCTACTAATATACCCCAGCACCTTATTAAGGCTCGTCCCTACAGTAGGCTTCCGTGCTTCAAGGGGACTTGCTAGTGCTGTTTGGGCCTTCTCACCCATCCTGTAGGTAAGCGCTATGCAGTCTCAACCCTGATTCTCACAACTAGCCGTACCTGTCCGAGTGGCACCAGTAGGATACTGGAGATTCAAATCGAAAATCAAGATAAACATGAAACGGAAACTGGGCTTATGTAGTGAGTTCTTATAGTTCTAAGGAACTGCGTAGTACTTATTGGTGGTGGGACCCAAGTAGGATTTTGTGCTCTTAGAAAATACCATACCCGAGACCCCGGGGAGGGTCTAAAAATTAGATCCCCGATATAGACCCATGTTAACCCTTTTATAACCTTTATATAAGTTCCCATATGGTTCTAGGGGATCTTTTTTTCAGATTCCTGTCAGGGGTTAGGTATTCCCTTTGGCAGCGCTGCTGGCCTGGTCTTAGGCCCGTGCTTAAGGCAGCGATAACCGCATGCTCGCTGGGCTTTGTAACCTGTCGATTCTCAACAACAGCTGGGACCCTTTGTAGGTAGAGATATTTCAAAGCACTACGGAGTGTTATCTTATGTTATCTAGCATAGAAGATCAAAATGGACTACGCGGCATTGCTTAATTACAACTTACTCTTTTCCTTTCCTAGGTCCCCTTCGCTCGCAAACAAATACAGGATTCTTCCCTAGAATCTGTCAAATCACCCTAAATGTATAGGGTCCCTAAACCCCCAAACCCTAGGGTCCCTAAGGTTGGCTGGTGCCTTTGAAAGCGCGGAGGCTGCAGAAGCCCGACAGTGCACATCCACGTGGCCAAGAGCACGCACTAAACCGGCAACTGCTACCTTGGTACCCAAAAGGCCTAAGTCTTAGGATTTAGGATTCAGGGTTTGGCACTTAGGGTTAATGGAGAATTAACATGGAAAATGAAATGGAAATTGAGGTTATCTGAGGTACTATGGGGAGAATTACCCATACTATGGTCCTAGATTCCTTGTATAGTTGTGGTATACGTACCTCCAGTAAGCCATGTCGGTAGTTATTTAGGCCCCTCCTGTAGGTGCTTTGCATATACATTGTGTAGGGTGTGGAGACCAGGGTTCAGGTGTGAGGGTTTAGAGATTAAATCGCATCCTCCAGGGCTCAAGGCCTAGGGGTTGGGGCTTAGGACTTTGAGCTTATAGTCCCCCTTAACTAGACCAATATGGGTATATGGGGATCTTTTTATAATATACCCCAAGCCATATTCTATCTACTTAAGGGGGACTACAGGGAATTCAGGACTTGAAGGGGGAAGTTCTGAATCCGGCTATAAGCCACAAGCTCCCAAACTTGGTCCTCACAATAGCTATCCAAGCTTTAAGGCTAATGTAGAAACCTGATTAATAAACCCCCTCCCCTTAATAGGGATTTGAATAGAATGAATAGAAATCCTAATATTAAGGGCCTCAAAAGGAAGGGGTTTATTAATCATGGGTCTACATTACCGATGAGCCTTCAGGTAGGGTGCTTGCTTTGAAGGATTTGTGTGAAGCTCTGGTTCCGGGGTTCACTCGGACCCCTTGGTACTCGGAAGCTGCAGGTACCTCCCGCAGATGATCTTATCATAGAAGACCCGAAATATTGACAACCTGGGGCGTAAGCAACATCCCCACAGCTCATTCTGGCAAAACGAGTTCGTGTGAATATTAGTGGCCCCCGGGCTCTTAATCCTAAGCCCGTTGTCTCATGTCTCGTAGATCTCTAACACTGCTGCCATGATTTCCGCTGCTTCGATGTGTATCTATAGCAGCCGAATCTTAACTACAGAGTGCAGCCTCTGTAGCAGGAGAAGGACAATGACTTGACCCTTTGCCCCAGCAAACGCCCGTTACAGGGACCCCAGCATCCACCTACTCCCACTCCTGCCGCTCCTGCTCCTGCCGCTGCGGCTGCTGCTGCTGCTGCTGCTTCTTCTTCTTCTTCTTCGCTTACTGCAGCGACTCTGACGATCAGGATGAGACCGCCTTTGAGATAAACGGCCACATCAACTCACAGCCGTAGCCGCTGTTGCAGCAAATCAGACTGAGCACCTGAAAACTTAGATTTCGGGTTGACCCCTATGCAGATGTCAATTACGAAAACGGTATGGCTGTAAGAAAACGATAGATGCACTGGTGACTTGGAAAGACAACACATAAAAGGAATAACAAGTAGAAGCCTTAGCTTGACCATACCAGTTACAGGGCTTTTTGTAAGTTACAGGGATTAGGGTATGAGGGTTCACAGTTTAGCGTCTAGGGTATGACAGGAACACTGATGACGCGGTTTAGCGCTTAGAGCTTCGGGTTTGCTGAACGCTTCAGCGCAACGATAACCATGGTCACGAGAATGGCAGCAGTAAGCAGAAACACGAAGAGTAGTAATAGTCACTGTAATAATGACTATAAGGGACAATAGTGACTATATTAGGGTCCTCTCATATTCCAACGATGGTCCACCTACAACCACAGCCCTAATAGCAAAACCGTACAATCAGCTTTAAGGTCTCGGGGTGGGGGATGCCAAGATGGCTCCCTTCTACTATACCCCAAAACTTTGAAAATACAACCCTTCTTACAAGAACTTCCAACAGAGGGCATCCTACTGTTGATACTTGAAATCCTGCATGACCTTAGTATAATGTAGCACTAGAATTCCCAAGGTGAAAGGTACTCAGGATCATGCAGGATTCTTGGTATCCACGTATCTCAATTGGGAATCTCTGTTGTTGGAAATCTCAAGTTCGGCCGCCTAAACCCTACATCTGTATGTATTATGTGTATAGATACGTACTGAAGCCTAGAACACTAAAAGGGACCCTTGGCTTAGCCTTTACAATTTAGGATTCTGGCAACCCCACCCTAAACCCCTAAACCCGTGATATAACCCCACATAACCCCCCGTAACCCTACATAACCCTTTAAGTCCCCCTCAACTCTCCCTAAACTCTAGACTCTAAACCCTTAACTCTAGACCCTAAACCCTTAACCCCAATTTCTAGACCCTAAACCCTAAACTCTAGACTCTAGACCCTAAACCCTGAACAATTTCCCCAGAGGTGCGGGGTCCCCAGGCTCCACCATCTTGCACAAGGCATCTACAGCTTCAGATCTCACCTCAGCCACAGGTTCCTGTCCTTTAGGGTTTAAGGTTTAGGGTTTGGGGTTTGGGGTTTAAGGGTTTGGGGTTTGGGGTTTAGGGTGTAGGGTTTGGGGTTTGGGGTTAAGGGTTTAGGGCTGAAGTGGAAAGGATTTACGAGGTTCGGGTGTAAGGGTCTGAGGTTTTTAAGATTCAGGACTTCAGGTTCTAATTTTTTAGGGTATGAGAGTGCAAGGCTTCAGGTTTTTGATTCAAGGCTTTAGGGCTTCGGGCTTGAGGGGCTCTAAACCTAAACCCTAATCCCTAAACCCTACCCTAAACCCTAAACCCTAATCCCTACACCCTAGACCCCAAGCCGCAGGAAGTGCAATGGGATCATATGGGTAGGCAGTAGATATCAGATAGGCATTATCTCAGGCTACCCAAAACGGATCCAAAACATTTTGTAGGCTTTTGGGTGTAGGGCAACAGTCTGACAACTCAACGTAACTATAGCAGCATTACTATCGAACTGTTATTGGGTGAGGCAGTACCTAGGGCTTACTGGGGAACCCAGTAACTGCCTCTGGTTAGCACGGAATGAAACGAAGGAACGGCTCCTTGGAGCTGTCCCAATACAATCCCCATAAATAAATATCAGAGTTTCCATTTTTTTCCTATTCCCGAACCCTAAAACCCAAGACTCCTAAAACCCAAACCCTAAAGCCTAAACCCTAAACAGTAGCTTCCATCTTCGCCTCCATTCTGTCATTCCCTGCTAACCCGAGGTAAGGTAAATTGGGGGATTGTCAAAATTATGGTCCCTTTTTGGGTCCCCTAAATTAGGCCCCGTATTCGGCCCCGTATTTTAATAGGGACCAAAAAAGGGACCATAATTTTGACAATCCTCCAAATGAAGTACGAGGCTCCTCGGCATCGTTCAGGCAGTTGACCATGGCAGTGATGGCCGTAGCATCGCTTCGCTTCTTCTTACCTGGATGAGTTTTAGGGTTTAGGGTTTAGGGTTTAGGGCTGAGGGTTTAGGTTTTAGGGCTAGGGCTTAGGGGTCCTTATAATGAGGCTCATGGTATGTTGGGGTCTATCTCGGGCCCTAAACCCCAAAACTGGAATTTCCAATCTACCCTGGGACCTTGCCAGTATAGCCTGCTTACTGCGGGGGGGTTTACGATGAGGAATCCAGAAAACACACCTTTCCTTTCAGCGGATTAGTAGGGAGTACAGGAATATATTATACATAGGCTTAAAGGTTTAGGGAAGATGGGGGTAGAATCCCTATACAACCCGATAATGGAGAATCATATGGAAAAGAAAATGGAAAGTGAAATGGTATCTACTAAATTCAGGTTGTACATAGTAGGGGTATACAGGGAATATAATCCCTATATACTGTATTCCTGTATTCCTACTAACCCCCAGAAAGTCGTAGGGTATGCCGTGCTACCGGCGTCATCAACGTCTCGGGTGCTTGCTAACACTGCGATGGCCCGAATAGCTGAGACTCGCACTGAGGGCTCCTCCTTGGGAGTTGCTGTTGAGGAACTTGAACGGAGGTTACTATAATAAGGAAACGCTACTATTCACACACTCTCTCTCTCTCTCTCTCTATATATATATATATACATACACACTAAATTGCTATAGCAAGGAAACCCTATTGTTTAGGTTTAGGGCCACTATAATGAGGAAACCCTATGTTCACCATATAGACATACATATATACATATATATATATATAGCAAAAATGAATTGCAATACAAGGAAACTGTATAATCTAGGGTTTTCGGGTTACTATAATCAGAAAACCCTATTGCTTACCGTATACCAATAGCGCGGCAACATAATTCAAACCCTAAACCCTTAACCCTCAACAACGTGGTACCCTCAACCCTAAACCCTAATCCCTAAACCCTAAACCCTTAACCGAGTGTCACCCTAAACCCTAAACCCTAATTCCTAAACCCTAAACCCTGTCAAGCAAGGTGGGCCTTGGGAGTCTTGTCAGACATCAGCTGCAAAAGACCACAGATCACTGTAGCCTTGCTGGGGGTTGAGGGTTTAGGGTTTAGGATTTCGGGGTTTGGGGTTTTAGGGGTTTAGGATTTTAGGGGTTCAGGGGGTTAGGGATTTAGGGGTTTAGGGGTTTAGGGGTTTAGGGGTTTAGGGGTTTAGGGTTTAGGAGGAGTGGGGGAGGGAATAATGCATCTGGGGATAAGGTTTAAGGATTTGGGGAATGTAGGGACTAGGGTTTAGGGCTTAGGAATACCACCCCAACAATGAAGAATCAAATGGACAAGCACATGCAAAAACAAACTGGAATATGCAGAAGCTTATGGGGGTTATGTGCTGTGGGGTGCCTAGATGATTAACAATAGAATGTTGAAGGAATTATTGCAAGTGTACATGCGGAGATTACTTAGGGGCCCCAAACCCTAAACCCTAAACCACTCCCCCTTAAGCAGAGGTAAGTGACATCGCCCCTCTTGCTGAGTTCCGCCAGGGCGACCACTGCAGCCTGTCGGAGATGTGCCTCTGCAGATCTGAGTAGCCCAAGGAGACTCTCCACCACCTTACATTCAGGTTGGGTACTGCCCCCACCCAGTAACAGTCTGTATTAGGGGTCCCATTAAGGGCTATATATAAGTAAAATATAAACATTATCCAGCTGTTACTGAGTGGGGGCCAGTATATAAGGTTTAGGGTTTGAGGTCTTGGGTTTGGAGTTTAGCGTTTTGGGCTTAGGGCTATGAGAATCCGCATACATACCTTGCTGACTGTGGCTCCCTACAGCAAGAAACCCGCATGTGCATACGCCCGGAATCTCCCCCTTAAGCACCTTAAACCCTAAACTCCAGGCCCGAAATCCAAAATACTACAGTAGTTTCTATTTTCGTTTCCATTCAAAAACTCGGCATTCCGCGGCCTTACTCTAACAATGCAAGTTTCCATGTCATTGTGCATGTTTTCCGCTTGATGTTCGCTATTGGGTGTGAAACCACTCAACCCTAACCCCTGGCACTAGCAATACACCTTAACCCTAACACTAGGCGTGATATACCTAAAGCCTGAACCCTAACACTAGGGGAAATATACCTAAACCCCTAATACGAGGGCAATATCCCTAAAACCTAAACCCCCAGCAATAAGGGTAATATCCCTAAACCCTAAACTCTCGAACCCTACCCTGTTATCTCTAAACCCTACAGTAAGCACCAGCAAGTCACTCGCAGCTCGCCCTTCCGGGAAACTGCCTGCAAAGTCTGCACACATGCGATCTGCAGACTGGGCGGGCTGTGGCCGAGAATCTTGAGGATGCTGGTAGTAACCTTACGGGTGGTTCCGGTTCAGGGTCTAGGGTTTAAGGATTAGGGTGCGGAATGGGGAAATTGATCTATATTTATATCGTACTGCCTAGATAATCCTATTCCTCACCCCTCACTGACCACCGGCTAGGAACAATGCTGCTGCCACGGCGGAGTGTGAGACGCGACAGCGCCAACAGCAACTCGCGCAGCGCATCATGGCCTATCCTGAGTAGCAATCCTAAACCTTAAACCGCTGGCAATAATGTGAGTCTATGATAAATACTATAGCTTCCCTGGATCTCCTATATACAGTAATTCCCATAGACTCCCGGTCTAATGTCCTAAATCCCCGAACCCTAAACCTTAACCCCCACTGAAACCCTAAACCCGAAACTCTGAACCCTGAACACCAAACCGTGAACCCTAAACTCCAAGCCCTAAACCCTGAACCCTAAACCCAAAACCTGAACCCTAAACCCCGTAAACCATGAGCTTAAGTTCCTTAACAGCAAACCAGTATCTGAGGTAAGAGGTCCACAAGCAGACCTTGGGGCTTCTCGCAAGGGTTTAGGGTTTAGGGCTTAGAGTTTGGGGTTTAGGGTTTTTAGGGTTTAGGGCTTAAGGTTTAGGGTTTAGGGTTTAGGGTTAGGGTCGAGGGTTTCGGGTATCCTTGCAAACCCTCCTTGAAAGTTCACGGGCTTTAGAAACTACTTACGTCTGGGCTTGTAACCTTACTAACCGTGGTACACTACGCAAGTCCAGTTGGGTGATAAGTATACTAAGTGCCATGAACCCGCAAGTAGGAATATGTGGGGATTATATTACAAACATGTGGGGCTCATGTAGGGATTGTATGGGGATATGGGGGGGGGGGGGGTTCTGGTGGTCTTCCTTACAAACTTTATAGCGTAGAGTTTCAGAAGCTCGGGCCTATGACAGAAGTGGCAACTTCCTGGGTTGCTGATAAGGAACTTAAGGTAAGTTAGCATAATGGGTATATACCTTACAGTTATTGCAATAAGGGTTTCCAGGGTTTAGGGTGCAGTACACTCTAAACCCTATATACCCTTATTGCAGTAACTTAGTTTATAACCCTAAAGCCTAAACACTAAGCCCTTTCATAGCAATCCAGCATCTCCCTGAGAAGGGGCAACCAAGCCTAGGCGTAGAGCTGCTAAGACCACCTCATCGCCAGGCTTGGCTATCTTCGCCAATGCCTTACAGTTTGAGGTTTACGGTTTAGGGTTCAGGGCTTAGGGTTTAAGGTTTAGGGTCTAGTGCTACTGGTTGTTAGTAGGAAATTGCGGGAAGGATCCCTATAGTAGCTCCTATATGGGGGGAGGGTTCCCAAAATTAGGGGTACCTTTTGGAGGTCGTAACAGTAATTTTGCATTGGGGAGTCTATATGGGAATCTTTGAATTTTGGGAAACTCCCATATACTCCCCAATAGTACCCTAAACCCTAAACCATAAACCCTACCCAATAGTACTAACAGTTAGCAAGATGCCCTTGCAGCAGCGCACATCACGGCAGGGTCCAGCTTGCTGGAGAACACCCGGCTCAAAGAATTAACAGCCTGGTTTGCTGTTAAAGGAACATACTTTAAGTTACCATAATGTGTATTCATATACACATAAATATAGCAATTAATACCCTAATGGGTATGTACATATATACATATATGTGTATATATATATATATATACATGGTCTAGAGGGTACATAGGGTTGAGGGTTAAGGGCTAAAGAATTTAGATTTAGTTACTATAATGGGTGAGTATAGTAAACAATATGGTTTCCCCAATATAGGAACTTACAGTGAGTTCTTCAACAAGAACCCAGTCTTCTTTCTTTTAGGTAGGGCTTCAGTCAATTTGTCGAGGCGAGGCGACGCCCAGTGAAAATTGATGTGGTCTTCAGGAGTTTAGGGCTTCCTAAACCCCACGAAAAGTAGGTAAACTATAGCCCCAAAATCACAAAGGCAGGCCAAAATCAATTATTCTACATACTTTGGGGGCTTGAGGCTTTAGCTCAGGATGTAGAGCTTCAGAGGTTTCGGGTTCATGCTTGGGATTTAGAGCTTCAGGTATTTAGGCCTGTATTCAAAGGATTAGACATTAGGCATCAGGCGGTAGGGCTGTGGGGTTCTGGGCTTACATCTTCATAGTAACTCCAATAAAGATGTTATTCTGCCCAGTCAACCACTCGTTACTTGCCGCCCAGCCCCAAAACCCGAAAAGCCATAAACCTCTGAAGGCCTAAGCCCTAAATTCAATTTTCCATGGGTCTCACTACCACGCACCCCGGTTCCCTCTGAATTAGCTTTGACTGTCCCTAAATGACCTCAATTGAGGAGAAACTTGGTGGGGGAACTTGGTGCGGGCAATATGCGGCTGGGTGGTCGGAGAACCTATTCGCTCCCTGACACAGTCCTCGATACTCGGAACCAGAAAGAAACATGTGATGGGAGCTACCTTTTCGCATCAGGCTCGGACTGAAACTCCAAACAGTGGGCCGGAGGGTCCAGGTACCTAGGGACAATATGGCTTTTCCCAAACCATCCATGGCTGAAGTGGTTTCCTCCAAATCAGAAATTCGAAAATCTAAAAAAGAAACGCGGGCGACCTACCTTG